AGGGTTTTTCTTCTGCACCTATGGTTAGTTTAATATTATGGGCATGTTTTCCATATTTTTTAGTATAATTGCAAAATAAATTCCATAAAGTCATAAGAGGAGCCTGTTTTTAAATCCCAATATCAATCATGGAAAAATATATAAACAGATACATTTAAGGGTTCTGTACAAGGGAACTGTATAAGGTCAAGTTTTTTATGAACTAAATGGTCCTGAAAGGAAGAAGTCATCCAAACTCAATTTTGTTTTTATGACTAAAACCAAGGAGATCAACTTATTTTTGTATTTAAGAACTAGCCTCTGCCTAGGGGGCAGTGGGCTTGGCAGAATATTCAATGATCTCACCAAGAGCCTGTGTAACATAATGACAGTAGACTGTGTGTTTATAGTAGGTAATACCACTGAAGCATAACATAATGCATCCTGACGTAATTTAGTTTGTAAAACCAAATGCATCAATAGCACCATGAAATAGTGGCAAACAATGTAATACTTCTGAATTATGTGGGCTGGGAACAGACATTCATGCACTCATTCATCCATTCAATGTACTGAGCATCTCCACCGCAGTGGGCATAGTAAGGAACATGATGACAAATTAGCTATGATCATTTCCTTTGCGAACCTCCAATCTAGGAGGCAGACAAGCTATAGATGGTTAAAATGACAGCAACAGGTGAGAATTAGCATACAAGTGGTTCCATGGAGTGTTACAGGACTTCAGAGAAAGGCAGTGTCATGTCTGGAGATGGTGTCCGTGAAGGGCTTCATGGAATCGATGGCATTTGAGCTGCCTGCAAGTGTGGATGGGAGAAGGGAGAGATTCACATGAAGAGCGAGTGGTGTGGAAGTGGGATGCCGCAGGCTGGTTTGGGGAATGTCGAATACCCCAAATGCGGTTTGACCAGAGCACAGATAGCGTGTAAGGGAAGGCAAAGCTGGGTCGGGAGGTTCTGCAGGGCTGTCCCAATCAGTCTAGCAGGGTGGTAAGACCACTGAAGGTTCTTCTGAGGGAATCAATGATATTTATGTTCCTTTAGGAACTTAGTAGGATAGGGTGGAAGAAGAGTTTGAAGGATGGCATTCCACTCAGGAGGCTCTTCTAGTGGCCCAGGCATTTGTTTGTGAAGAAGTGGAGGAAAGGAAATTAACATCTATTAAGAGCTCACCATGTGTAAGGCATTTATTTGTTTTAGCTGTAATATTTCATTTAATTCTCGTGACAACTCTGAAAGGTAAGTAACATTAACTCCAGTGTTCAGTTGAGGATATTAAGGATAGTAAGAGATCAGTAGTTTGCCTAAGATCACTGAGTTAGTAAAATACAAAGGGGAGGGGAACAGGAGTCAGCAGTTGAGACTTTAACGTCTGGGTTATCTACACTATGCTGTGTTGATAAAGGGCTTTCTTTTCCTAACTTCCTTGCTGTTCAGGATTGGTAGTTCAGTATTTCAGCTGTGCCTCTGGTACAGACCTAGAGATAACTGCATACAGCAGGAGAATGATTCTGACAACAGAGAGGTTTAATGCTGAATGCTTGGATTCTGAAATCAAGGAGGGGGAAGGGTATAGCTCAATTGGTAGAGCGCATGCTCAGCACACAAGGGGTCCTGGATTCAATCCCCAGTACCTCCTCTAAGCAGAAATCAATGAAGAAACCCCATTACCTGCCCCTCAAAATACAAATAATTCATACTGAAATCAAGGAAACTCTTCTGCCCCAAACAACCACAGAAACCTGCCTGCTAGACTGAGAGCTTCTTCTGAGCAGACAGTGTCTTACCTGACTCGGAATCCCCGGGAGTATGCCCAGGGTCTGGTGCTGCAAAGTGCTCAAGCAACAAGCTGCCATACTGAGTCCCACCTGTGATTTATGCAATGTATTTTCTGTTCTCAACAGAAGCTCCAAGGAAACAGACCATTTGTATGGTAAGATTGCAACCCAGAGAGTTATTTCTACAGATGAGGCTCACCCCCACCCCTGGGACAAATTCTGCTCCTAGTCATGGGAACAGAAGGGGGCTCACGGGCTCAGGAGCATAGCAACTTTCTGCCAGTCCTGCTCTGTTCTTTCATTCCTGGTGTCAGTTCTGGTGTCCTTTCTTACCGTGGGGATCAGGCTTTCCCTTTCAGCTTACAGTAGGTACAACCCTGTCTTGCTTCTTATGCCAGCATCCCTGTCTTTGAACTCTGCCACGTATCAGTTCCTGTCTCTCCAACAAGATACAAAATACAGCAGGAAGTCTCTGATACCAAGTCTTTGCTTGCTGTAGGCCCCTCTGACCGTCCCAGATCTCCTAGACTACTCGAGCCGGCCTATGGACTCATTAGACCCCGGGTCTCTCTAGTCTAGCCTGTGCTTCTGCTTGTTGAAAAGACTTTGGATGAGGAACATATTAATCGTGTTGGTAGTACTCATACTGACATAGCATTTACTATGTGCCAGGCATTGTTCCACATGTCTCACAAATATTAATTCCTATAATCACTACGTTAGTAATAGTTTCATTTTATTGATGAAAGAAAAGCAAAACAGAAAACCTGAGGCTGAGAGATTAAGTTACTTGTTTAAGGTGACACAGTCTGCAAATGCAGAGCCAGAACTTGAACCCAGACACTCTGGCTATAGCTCATTCTCTTAACCACTAAGCTCTCCTGCCTCTCCAACGGCAGTGAAAAGATGAAGGACACGTCACCTAGAGAGTGTACTTACTACCTTAAATGCTCTGTTTAATACAACTGGCATAATACTACCACCAACAGTTATCAGGCTTATGTTAATTAACATTTAGCTATAAATCTGAACTCCAAAATCAGTTATAAAGAAGCCCTTATACGATGCTGAAACTTTGATGTATGAGTATTTTCATTTTGATCAAAAATACTACAGATGTTCTGCATTTAGGCAAGTCTAACAAGACAGTAGGATTCAAAGACAATGTGATTCTACTTAGCAAAGATAATCCAAGAATACTGGTAGAGAAGACAATCATGAGTCTGACCTTGACAGAAGGGGAAGCAAATCTGAGGAATTAAGAATCAAAGTAGAGTTGCTAAGAAGGTAGATCTTAAAAGCTCTCATCACAAGAAAAAAAAAAAATCAAAGGTGAGACTGTTGACATCTTGGCAAACTGGATAGTTCTGCACACTCTAGTTCACTTGACAAACGATGACACATTTCATTGTTATCAACTCAGAAGTTGTATATCTGACTATGTAATAATCAGGAATTTAAACAAGAATTAAATAAGCATATAATAATACCTATGTTAATATGTACCGTAGATTTCTCTGATTTGTATTATTACTCTGACTTGTTAAGTATAGTGCAGTCATTTAAAAAATTGGTTAATACCTCTATGTAGCAGAGGTTGAAGATAAGTGATCAAGACATACAGGAAGCTTATTTTCTAAT